AGAGAACAGCCTGATGAATCTGAAAGACCAAGGGTAATTGTGTCAAATCATGTATCTTATTTGGATATTCTCTACCACATGTCAGCATTCTTTCCAAGCTTTGTGGCAAAGGTAGGTGCATAACTAAATTATGTTAAAGAAGTTGATTTCCTTTTATGGTATAGGAAATTTTACTGCAGCTTTGTTTTGACATGTTCCTTTTCTTGGGCAAAACTAACACTGGATGTCATTGCTGAAGAGATCAGTGGGCAAGCTTCCCTTTGTCGGTATCATCAGGTTTATACACAAAACCAGTTGCACATTCTTTTAAAAAATTTTTCTCGGGAGCGGTAGACATTCATTCTACGATGATTCATTTTCAGTTGGTCGCATATTAAGCTTTCCTTATTTTGATATGTTTGTACCTTATGTATGTTGTATTGTTTCTTTTTGTTGGTCTAGGCGTACCGTATTATATAATCTATATATTGTATCATCGTTGGGTCCTGGTATTGTCATTGAGAGAATGGGTAGCATTTGACCTGAATCCAATTGATTCATTTGTTTGCCCTCAATATGTAATAGAACAACATACAGGTTGATATGTAATCAATATGTTTTTGAATTGTGACAAGAAGTAGTAAATTGAAAATACACATTTGTCAAATGCAAGTTGGTCCCAGTCGCGTTGAATAAGGTAAAATAGGGGCATGAAGGATTGAAGGATGCCAAGTAAAACACCAGGTTTTAAAGTGAGTTGGATTTTTTATTACTGCAGCTTTTGGGAAAAGTTAAGCAGTCACTGCTTTTTAAGCTAAAGTGGAGCTTTGGCCGGGCTATTGAGGTGTTTTAAAACAACGACTGGTGTTGTGATCAAGTACAATGTTGGTTATCCAGAAACACATTACTTCACCCCTTACATCATTGCCTATTATCAAACGAATTACACATCTATGCCCCTTGCTGTTTCTTACATCTTATATTTTGATATTCCTCTTTTACCATCTCTACATGTAAAAAGGTTGGAGCTTGAAAGCAAAACCATTCAATTTAAGGCAAGTGTTTATGTCCACTTTAAGCCTCATAAGTGCATGTGATGCATGCCTGATTTTTATGTACAATTGATTTTTGTTCGTGTGTTGTTTGTATCCTTTTTAATCTCATAAACAATTTGTTTGTTGCAAGTGTTTATCAATGTTTTGAACGATCGGAGTTTCTTGTTTTTGTATTTTTTTAGGTTTACATACAATTGATTTTTTAAATGAAACTAGACCTTTTATGAAGCTTAGCATTTTCCGTTGAGACTCATGTAATGGTGTACTTATGGTTGAGTATTTGCCCTTCAAGATTTTACTTTCAAAAGTAACTCGGTAGGAAACAGTCACATGAATGTTGTTGGTTCTTTTGCAACTTGATTTTTGTTCTTATGCTTATATTGCTGCCATACCCCTCTTATTTTTGACTGTGCATAGTTCCAGCATTTTATTGGTAGTCAGTCATCTTTCATTATGTAGGTTGAAGTATGATGCTATTGTTTCAGGATAAATGGAATTGATTAGTTAATTTCTCTTATTTGCAGCAAGTGTCTTGGTTGTATTTATGTTCAGAGAGAATCAAAAGGTTCCGAATTTAAGGGTGTTTCAGGTACTTCAGCTGTAAAATACCGACAACTTTCTGTGTTCATTCTTTAAATATGAAATTTATGGTTTTTGAAAGCTATGAGCTTTCATCATTTTCATGAAACCTGTGTCCTAAAGAAACTTTTGACGGGAGCTCCTTTGTTAAAGAAAACTTAAAATTGCTGAGAAGTTACTGTGTTTTTTCCCTACTTACAACTGGCCTTTTTGAAGTTAGAGCAACCTGCTTTTGTTGCCTAAGAGATTTGGCGATGGGCATCAATTTAGATGTTTAATGCAGCACTTGGGTGAATATTTACACCCATTGTGAGATCTTCTGCTCAATGGCTAAAGATTTTTGTAGAAAAAGAGCTCAGATGATGATGATTCTATGCTAACATGGATATGCTGTTTAGGCTGATCTGGGTATAATAATTTAATGGTTTTGTTGCAAATGACTCTATTTAGATGCAAGGCAATTGCATGAAGGAAATCTCAAGAGCTTGAGTACTTGATAAGTGAATAGGCCATTAAGAGCTGCTTCTGAAGAGTATTATGATTGAATTGAGGTTTGGTGGACTTGAGTTTGACTTAACCCATGCCTGTATCGATTTGGCAGCTCATGTATTAGACAAATATCATTATACATAGATTTAGCATTTACACTAAGTTCAAGTTATCAGATTAACTTGTTATCTGTGGTCACTAATCTTGAGTTCTAGTTTCCTTATTGGTAAGTAAGAGAACTGTTGTTAACATCACAAAATATTTCTATGTGAACAAGCAATATGGATGAAGAGGATTGATGGCTGATACCTCAGAGACTACCAATATACTTCCCTCCCTTTCGGGGGGCATCACATTCTCAAAACACAAGCCTCCCCAAGGTGTGAACTTTAGAAAGCCCCTGGATGTGCAGACATTATCTTACTTGTGATGCTTGTGGTTGTTGCCTGTTGGCAACAAAAAAGCATAAGAGTATATGTAAACAAAATTATGTTAACATAAGAGTTGGGACTAAGAGGTCAGACATATTCAACTTTAAAGACAAAAAAGCATATTACTTATTGGCTAGTTTTTGGACTTTTGATACATCATCATCTCATTGATATATAAACTGACAAAAAAAGTTATGTTGTGTACGGAGCTTAATCTGGTGTCCTACAAGTAGGGGTGGAAATGAACCGCATTCGAATCGAATACCCTAGTGTTTGTATTTGGTTCGTATGTGACTATTTGAATTCCTATTCGAATTCAAAATGAATAGGAAAACTAATAGGCAAATTCGAAACGAATAGGAAAACCAATATTCGAATTCAATTCGGATAGCATTCGAACATTCGATAACTATTCACGAATATTCATTAAGAGTGTTTGGGTAGTCTTTTGCGAATTACTCTGTAGACATTCGGCAAATATTGGTTATCCTAGTCTTGCAATAGAGCCAAACATGATATACCTAATGAATATGCAACCTAGTGATATATAATATTCACAAATAAAAAACTATTTATCTACATTTGCAAGCAAGAAAATGAAATTTTAAGGACTAAACTGTATAAACAAATAGTTCATTAAACAAACGAAACAAATATACCTATGGTTAAATTATATTCTTTTATGAACCGAATAATAAAAACTATTTGTTTATTATGAAATGAACTATCAAATCGAATATGACCAAATACTTGAATTGAATAAATATCGTACTATTTGTTTAATATTTGGTTTGTTTCCATCCGTACCTACAACGAAACAGAGTAGTGAGTAGTTCATAACTTCATATTTATATTATGTGAACTTATTCAGTAAATTAGATTATATTAAGCATTTGCTTGGTTAAGAAGAACCTCTATTGAATTTCGGGAAGGATGTCCTTTACCTTGGGCCTTACTTTGGGTTTTCCCTTTTTCTTTTCTTTTTTCCTTTTTTTTTTTGTGTGTGTGTGTGTGTGTGGGGGGGGGGGGCATCTATTAGTGAGATTGCATGAAGATAGTACAACAATTAGTAATTTCCTGTTGAGATAAATGTCTAATCTCAAGCATCAGCTATGGAATTTATTCAAATGAAATCGTAGATAGTGACAACACATCAAACTGGCGTTTGTTTTTCCCATTACGCACTTTGAAATTCAAATTGTTGATACCAGAGTCTAGAATCTCTTGTGATTGGCATAAGCAACTGTGGTAATAAAGGTGGGGTCTCTCAGACTCTAAATCTTTAAATTGTCAGCTGCCAGATATTTTGTTGTGAATCTAATTCATTGTAGATCATTCTTGCATGTGCAAAGTGCAAAAATCTTCTTTTGGGTTTTCACAGAAGGATTTAAATTCTTACTCTTTCACACTATTATCCAATGATTCACATTGCATTTTCTTTCTCAACTAGCTCATTTACTCCTCACTTGAAGAACACACATGGGTTATACTCGGTCATAAAAGCAGTTTGCATCCACCTCACTTTAGATATTTCTTGCAGGTATAATAACAGAAAGGATTGAAGAAGCCTTCCAAAATAAGCATTGTCCAAGCGTGCTGCTCTTTCCAGGTTAACATGCTATATTTTCTCCTTTATCTCTTCATGAGTTATGAACACAGGCTGCACAATATGAACATACACTCATTGGGAAGTATCCACTCACTACAATGATCACCCGCAGTTTGTTATATGCCCGGTAATCATTGTTTTGATGTAAGGTTGGTGAATTTTTCTTGTTTTAGTTCGGCATATAACATGCTCTACACTTGTTATGTTCAACCCATTTTATATTATTTGGAGTTATATTCTTTGGTTTATAAAACTGCTACTATGATTTTATCAATCTTACTACAAATTTATACCTGTGTTATATGCCAAACCACATGGGAAATATAGATGATCTAAAATGTGAATTGAGATAATATAGATTAATCACCAATAAGAAAGCTATAAAGCGCATTTTCAATAATAACTGTTTATGATAAGTATACCCAAGTTTGGTCTTAAACTATGAAACCTAATGAATGCATTAGCTGCAAAGTAACTGTTCTTCTTTAGGTGCAATTAACTGCGAGAAATATATGTTCTTAGCCAAATAGGTGAAGCAGACATGGGTACTAAAGAATAAGGTGGGGTCTCTTGTTAGCATTAACACCCTGATGCTATTTATGGAACAGGAAGGTAGAAAGGGCATCAAATCAAATAAAAATGTGCTGGACCCATCAACTCAGGAGCTGCTAATATTGTTTTCTTGAATTAGAAAAGCAGTGCGTAAAGAGGCATTGTTCTGCACATGCGAAACAGAAAAAGTAAACTATTAGCAGAACGCATGTAGTTATGAAAAATCCTATAGAAGACAAGCGGTCAAGTCCTGGTATATGAATAGAAAAGGCCAAATTCATTAACTGAAAAAGGTTATTTTGTTAAATATGTGACGCGCAGGATGCATCTGTACAAATTGTTTGAATAATACACCTAAAGCACTAGTACACTAAGGAAGCAAAAGTACTGATGTCTATCAGTAACTTTTTGTGATGATTTATACCCTAGTTTGGTCTCAAACGTGAAAGTTAAATATGCATTAGATGCAGAGTTAGTATTGTTTTAGATGCAGCAACCTCAATATATACATATATTTAGCCAGAGATGTGAATCATATGGATACTAAAATGAACCTTCTTTTTGGATAAACGTTCTGATCATGCATATAAGATAAGAATGAAAATGGAAAAAAGTTGATTTATCTTCTTGAACTGGATAAATGTAGTGCTAAGTGCAGGCATCGTTCAGCACAGATTATCAGTAAAATCGACAAAGTATCAAAGACATTCCAACCAAACCAAGTGGTCCACTCCAAGAATATGAAGGCAATAAAAACAGATAAATTAATTCACCAGCTGAAATGGTCACTTTTGTTGAACAGGTTATTCGTCGGTACAAATTTGTGTGGTATACCAGAAGCATCAGTACAATTTTAGCCGTAATTGAAGACAGTATTTTCAGTAACGAGCAGTGAGTAGGATAAATGATCTGAGAGCTTGGAGATGAGACTAAAGATATAGGAACATTAAGATGGTTCATTAGATTACAATTTATTATTTGCAAGAGAAAATGGGTGTCCTCTGTATGATTCTTGTACAAATTAAGAAGACAATATTGATGTGCATTGCTTCAGTGTATGATCACTTGCCACAACCTCTAAAAATGGTTGCAACAATACAGCTAACATAGTATTTGACTTATCTACTATTCTTACTCTTACATAATTTAAATTTTCTGTCCAATCCTTCTGATGCTGTTTATACTTTGCACTGTTCCTCTTATTTAACATGATGTGTTACTACCCATGTTGCCTATTTTCTGACTTCCTTTATTTGCAATTTCAGAAGGCACAACTACAAATGGAGATTATCTTCTTCCTTTTAGAACTGGTGCTTTTCTAGCCAAAAGGCCAGTGCTTCCTGTGATATTAAGATATCCATACAGAAGATTCAGTCCTGCATGGGATTCCATATCTGGGGTGAGGAATCTATTATTATTTAGATGTAGTATGTTATTATGTCATTTAGATTCAGGGTAAGAAATCTATATGACTTTTAGATTCATTATGTTATTTAACTACTCAATTCAAATTTTGTTCTTAACGAAGTACTCGTGTTGTTTAAATGGTGGCTGCATTAGGAACTCCTCTTTTAAAACTGTATAGTTCCTCATGTTGGACTGGACTATAACGATTTACTTATTTGGAATTTTGTGATGAATAGAACTATGCAAGAGAGCACTGATGATTCGAGATTCCAGTGAATTCATAGTTTGCTTGACAGTAGTTTTGCTTACAGATGGTTTGGTTTCAGTTGGATGGCATGAGTATATAGTGATGTCTTATTAAAATGAATATCAAATGCAAATCCAAGCAATGACCTTACATGTAGGAACCTTGTTATATTTGGATACTTAATACCTGCACCCTTGTTGTTCCCTGCAGGTTCAAGATTTTCAGTAGATACATACTTGTAACCATTAGTTCTGCTCAATCTCTGTGTTAACATATCATGTTCACCTAGCAAGACAACTTATCTAATATAATAGGAGTTCATTAACATGATACCTATGCACTCTCTTTTTTCCTTAATTGTTTTGGGCGCTAAATTCCCACTTGACCTGATGGAAATTATTTTGAGCAGAAGAATGATTAGTCTGTCTACAACAATTTACATGAAACAATGGGGAGTTGATTAATGGTACTTATTTAGGGCAATAGCCTTTAAGATGATATAGCGAATAGCTTAGGGAAGTTCTTTGAGGGTCTAGAACTAATTGAATGATAAATATGGAGAATTAGCTCCATTGTCTGGGAGGGCCAAATTCAGGGAATATTAGATGATTAATAAATGATTTGAGCAAATCCTACCAGGAGAATATAATCGAAAAAATTGCTTGAAGTATCTTAGAATACTGAACTCAAATTGATCAATGTTAACCAAGTTGAAGAATTTTGAATGAAACCAATATTTACTTATGTATGAGAGAAAAGTATGAATTTCAGTAAAACCAATACTTGCTTATATTTGGGAACTAAGTTGCATCGAAATGGGTATAGGTACTAGTATGGATGCGGGTACGGGACACGGAAAATTTGTAAAATGTAGGGTACGGGGATACAACTACATACATATATTAAAATTAATACTTTACATGAGATATTATTGTTTTTCAATTCATGTGTTATCATAATTAAAATTTCTATCATATTTTTAAGTTCCTTTTATTATGTTGGTTATTATAAATTGGCAAGTACTTGTTTTTGAACTAGACACCCAAAACGACCATTTGAAATCGTAGTTTTGGATTTCGGTATGGGCTGAAAAGGACTCGACCCATGTCTAACGAGTTTCAAGAAATGATGTGAAGGGTAGGATATACATACTCTAGTGTACGACTAGTGTTTTCAATTAAAACATATATATCATCACTGCTTTAAAAAACCTTCGCCTAGTCCGCTTAGGCGTATGCCTATGCCTAGGCGGTACCTAGACCGCCTAACTAGTGCCTAGCACCTAGGCGGTATTTAGGCTGCCCATCTAGATTTTACGATCGTTTAGGAGATCATTGTCTGTTTACATGGATTGCATCCTGTAGGCATTGGTTGTGATTTTATGTGTTGTAGCCTACATGTCCTCCAAACTCAATTAACCTCCAAATATGAACACCTCCACTACCTCCTCCAACCTTCAGCAAAACCTCATCGACCACAACTTAAATGAAGAAAGAAACCTGTCTAGACACCAGTCCGGCATCTAAGCTTTCTATAACATTGACATTCACTATTAATTATTGTAATTAAAAATAAAAAAAGAAAACATCTTAGGCTCTACCATTGTTAATTATTATTTTGGCTATTTAGTATCTAAATATGCATGATTTATTGTGGAACTAAGATTGCTATATTTTTTTGAAAATTTATACGAATTTAATATATTTTTTATTAATTATTATAATTAAATAATTTAAAAATAGTCAAACGCCTAGGCGTACGCACAGTGGTCTAGGCGCTAGGCGCTCGCTCAAACGCCTAGTCTGCCTAGCGCCTTCTGTAACATTACCGAGCTCCCCCGATCTCTGTAACTACTAACAAGGTAAAGAGTACTTCTCAAATATCTATTTAAGTTAGTTAACAATAATAACTTAAACTTAAGAAGTGTAAGTTAACAGTAAACTTAAGTTTAAGTTTAAGTTAATGTTAAGTTTTTTGTTGATGGTAAACTTAAGTTTAAGTAAACAATAAACTTAAGTTAATAATATTTTAGTTAACAGTAAACTTAAGTTTAAGTTTATTGTTAACTTAAACTTAACAGTAACTTATAAGTTAACAGTAATTTGAGTTGAGAATGAGTTTTTCACTGTTGAGGTGAACTTATAATTTGAGTTGAGAAGTATAAACATACAAAAAGCTATTGTAATTGGTAAATCAAGTAATTTAGTTAATATTGTTGGTATTTTAGTATTTATGCATCTTTGATTTAGTATATATATATTTATCTTCAAGTATCACAATAAAAAAAAGCCCAGAAACCACTTAGACGCCCGTCTAAACGACTAAGCGCTGGGCGTCAAGTCCTACGTCTAGAAGCGCTCAACGTTTAATGTAACATTGTATATCATATAATTTGAGAACACGTTTGAATAAATGTATGAATATATTTAAGGAGTGTCCATGAAGTTTCGGTATGGGTATGTGTCGGGTATGGATACAGCTGCATGATAGAAGTACCTGGGTAACATAGTTTGAGAAGATTCAGGAATTTTGAATTTCAGAAAAAACCCAGGTCAAACTGCAATTAGTTCATAGAAATTCATAACTTAATCATGGAGAATCCTTTCGTATAGATTGTTTTCCAGGTTTTGGTCAGGTGAGGGTGCTTCTGCTAAGATCTAGCTTAAACTGGCCCCAGAAACCAGCAATTAAATGCTTCCGTTCAGCTTGTCTTTGAGTTCAATTTTATTGTCTTAAAGCAAACATTAGAAACTAATTGTTGTCACCTATAGTTAGGAAGTGTGTTTTGCTTTGCTATAAATTGTTTGGACTGTTTTGCTTTGCTATAAATTGTTTAGAGCCTATGGAACTAAGTCACTCATAGATCTCAGTTTATGGGATAGTACTAGCAGTTAGTCCAAGTATGATCCCAGGATCATCCTGGTGTACTCAACCCACTTGCATTTAAGATAATTCTTCATTTCTTTGAGACAAGTTACATCACCACTCATCTCTTTTAAATAATAGTTATATCTCAACATTCTCTTATTATTTGGTTTCACTTGCATGGAGTGCTTCCATGCTATGTCTAGTTCTGATAGATGGCCCTTTTGGGACAGTACTTTTGCTAAAGTTTCCTGTTCATAAATGTGTCATACAATTACATTTAGAATCTATAAATCTAAATCTTAAAGTAAAATACTTTCCATCAAGCATGAAAACCAAGTATAAATGTACTTCACCAATTTACCATATTATGTTATTATATTTCACATTTAATTAGTCATCAATTGTTGCAATAAATTTACTCAGAAATTTAGCAGTTATGTAATAAAAGAACTTAACTTAAGGCATTCACAAGAAGAGCTTCAACAAATTTTACAGAAGTTGTGTGTCATATCTAGCAGAAGAAGTTGGCCAATTTACTGAATTTGCAATCTACCCAATAATTATTTAATACAAGTAATTATATATTGACAATTAATAGATAACTTAATTATTTATAAATGATTAGCATAATTATTTACTACCAATTCACTAGCATGTGTAATTTGATACTTTATTATTTAATAAATAATTCAAGAAACCATTATAAATAACATAACAACCCATCAATAAATAACTCAATGGTCCAATTATCCAAAACCACACGATAAACAGGCCATGATAACCGTCCAAGATCTCTCACATAGGGTATTTCTAAAAGCACATGGATATTATTTCTATATCTATACATTTTTTACTAAAATCACTGGGAACTCTAATTTATGTATACACCATCGGTTGTTGAGAAATAACCTGGTCACTCTTCACAGTCCCTGCCTCTGCCTCTTATAGCCTACCTTTGGTTCTTGTGGCTTCTCCGTCTCCACATTCTCACACATTTCTACGTATAAGTGACATTTATTCCAGATTTTTCATATTTTGTATATGTTTTATGTTTTGTTTATCGTTCCTCTGGCGGAGATTGCATATGCAGTTTTAAGGAATGTGCTAGTAAATCATATACTAATGCCTGACATTTGCTGAAGCAATGAGGATTAAAAAAATGGCTGGAGTAAATGAATGAATGATAGTAAAATTAATCAAGAAGATGAACCTTAATAGAATTGAATTACATGAATTCATGTGCCATTCCAAAATATTGGGCTAAAGGCGTTCTTGTTGTTATCATCATCATGATCTCAATGACAGCACTAACTCAATCTGATTGTAGTGTACTTTAACTATCTATGAATTGTTTGAATTGATCCAACTTAGTTCAATATATCCAATTTATTGATCCATGCTGGTTCCTTGTTATGCAGAAGGAAACTTCCTATATTTTATATTGAATATTTTTCCATCATCTCTTCCTAAAGTTCTGATCCTATTTCCTTCCAAAGTTAGATCAGAGAAGCCCCATGTTTCCTCTAACTGTTGAGTTCTCATGCAGGTTCAAACATTATCCTGGGAGAATGATAGATAAATAAACTTTAGGTCTGAAACAGTGAAACATATCCCCAATTCATGCAGACTGATCTTTAATTCACAATATACTGAATAACGTGATGGTTCAGAGATGAGATGATCCCACATCGAAACAAAATGTAACTGAGCGCGGGTTTGACTTTATTACCCATCCTATTATGATTAATAATAGATAAAGCCTAACCATGATCCAACTACGGATTTATATAATATTGTCTGCAACATAAAGATTGCTTGACTTATAGAGATCTTGGTAGCTCCTCCTCTACGCACACCATAGCCAGTTAGCCACAACATCCCCTCGCTCCCCGCGCCAATACCACCCTGACGA